AGAGATGGGAACGGCGACGGTAATGGTCGGAAACGGGAGCGGGTGATGGCCGAAGATTGAGGGTGGTGAAGGTGAATGTCGAGAGGCAAAGAGAATGGTTAGGATCTGTGGACTGAGGTATTTCGCGAGTGAGAAAGGTTCTTTAAAAAAAACAAATTAAAAATTAAAATAAAATAAAATAAATAAGGCAGATCGCCTCGCTTCAACGAGGCGATCGCCTGGCCTCAGGCGAGAGGCGCACCGAGGCGAGCGCCCGATTTAAGGCGCTAGCCTGGGCACCTTGCAAGGCGCACCTGGGCGAAATCGCCTCGCCTCTTGCCTGAGGCGAGTGCCCGGGTGCGCCTCAACAACACTGGTCCTACGAGGAAAAGGATTTTCAAACACTACTACCAATTCCTACAAGGAGTAGGATATTATTGTCTTATAAGGATTACAATATTGTTTTCCTATAACGATTGAGATATTTGACCTCTTATAAATAGAACCCTTTTGTTAAGGTTTAATTTGTACAGAGTCCAAATAAGAGAGACTTGAGTGGTTGTGGATAGTGTATGAAAAAAGAGTTTGTATCTCGTGGGTTTAGTGAGGGTATTTCCAATTGGTAATCCTAGGTAACCATTGTTAAGGTACTTAGTAGCAAGATATGAGATCTCCATTGTAATATTCTCAACTATAGTTGAACCTGCTTTTTTGCAGAAGACTGGACATAGTCCCAAGATAGGGGCGAATCAGTATAATCCCTGTGGTGTTAAGCTTTTCTATCCCTATCTCTTATTCCTTTGTTATTGCTAGTTACGTATCTGCTGTTAGTTTGTGGAAGGGGAAAATCAAATAGTTCCTATTTGAAGAACTTACAGGAGGATCGATTGATCCATATTATTTTTTTCTCAACAAAAACCCTAATGGGCACAAAAATTTTAGAAGAAACCTAGAGCTCTGATAGCATGTAGAAACTAAGGTTTGAGAGAACCAGATAGATCTTATTCTCATTACTGAAGTCTATATATATATACAAATATACAAGGCTGACCTAATCCTAGAAGGGGAAGGTAAAGGACAAATGAATACATATTATTTAAAAGAATGTGAAATATACTAATATATACTCTAACAATTCCAATCCATAATAGCTTTAATTTTATTAGGATCCATTTTTACTTCATTATGTCCTGTAATGAATCCTAAGAAGGAAATTTCATTAGCTAGAAAAAGACACTTTCTTAAGATTAATTACTAATTCATTCGAAGCTAAGACAGAAAAAACCTTATACAGATGATCCATATGGTCAGACATGCATTTGCTATAGACAAGTATGTCATTAAAATATACTACCACAAACTTATTAATGAGCCGCATGAAAGTGCTAGGAGCATTGGAGAGACCAAAAGGCATAACAAGCCATTAGAACAAGCCCTCATTTATTTTAAACGTGGTCTTCCATTCGTCCCCTGGGCAGATGCAATCTGATGGTAGCCACTTTTAAGGTCTAATTTAGAAAACAATATGGCACCACCGAGTTGGTCAAGCAAATCGCTTATTCGTGGGATGAGAAACCTATATTTTACCGTGATTTTATTTATAGCACGACTATCGAAACACATACGCCAAGTGCCATCCTTCTTTGCTGTTAATAGGGCGGGAACAGCACATGGGCTAAGGCTTGGTTGAATGTGGGCTTTATCTAATAAATCTTGAACTTGGTCATGGAGGATTTTGTATTCAGATGGGTTCATTCGATAATGAGCTAGGTCAGGGAGAGTTGCACCGGGGAAGAAATCTATGTTGTGTTGAATATCACGGAGGGGGGTAGCCCCGTGGGCGCATCCACAATGCTTTTGAAATCAAGTAATAGTTCTTGAACTTGGGGAAGCATATTAGTATCAGTATCCTCGGTCCCAAAATTCTTGATAACCAAGCCAAGAATAGGTAGCTCTCTATGTAAAAGAAGTTGTTTAGCCGATGAAAGGGTGAATAAGGCACCCATTTCTGTTTTCGTGCTGCTGTCTTTGGCACAAATAGACTTAGAGGGATTAAGAGGAAGTAACACAACCTTTTTTCCCATCCACAGAAATCATAGGTGTTATCCCTTCCTTTATGTATAGCTTGAATGTCATATTGCCACGGTCGTCCCAACAAAATATGGCAAACATCCATATCGAGGACATCGCAAACTATTTGATCCTTATAGCTCGTTCCAATGGACAAAGGGACGGTACAAGTATGAGTGACTTGAGCCTCGCCCCCCTTTTTTATCCAAGTGACTTTGTAAGGGGCAGGTTGAGGAATCAAAGAGAGATTTAATGCATTCACAAGTTTGCTAGCCACGATGTTCTCGGTGCTACCACTATCAATGATGATATTGCAAATTTTTCCATTGATGGTACACCTTGTTTTGAATAGAGCATGACGTTGATACGTGGGTTCGGTTGTTGGGGTCAATAAAATCACAGGTTAGGGGTTCTCCTTCATCAAGGGCAGTATACTCAATTTCCTCTTCTTGATCCTCGCCATCACTGTAATCCGGTTGATCTTCTTCATCCACAAAAGCAAGTGCTTTTCGTTGAGGACATTCATTGGAAAGATGGCCCACTTGTCCACAACGAAAGCATTTACCTAATGTTGGACGGTTGTAGGCAGTAGCAAGTTTCTTGCCTACTGTTTTATCTTAGACTGAAGCTTCTTGTAAAAGACCTTGATCAACCTGTTTTCCTTTAGTAGCAGTGTTAGTAGGTAAAGAAGTCTTATCTATAGGAAAAGTACCTTTCTTTGAAGTGCCTCCCTGTTCCCAAGTGTTTCGGCGTGAGTATTGCTTCTTGTACCGATTATTCATTTGTTCCTCAAGGGTTGTTGCCGTAGAAATAGCTTAATTGAGATAGCCAATAGGTTGTAAGGCAATTTGTTCCTTGATATCTGATCGTAACCCGCCAATATACCGAGCCACGAGGTAGTGTTGATTTTCCCCAAGATTTGTCCTAGCGCCAAGCCGATGGAATTCTTCTGTATAATCTGCAATCGAGCGAGTACCTTTGCGACAATTTTTGTATTGGTTGTATAGGATTTGTTCGAAGTTGACTGGTAGAAATCGCTTCCTCATCAACTTCTTTATTCTTTCCCAACTACGAATTGGACGCTTTCCATATCTTTGGCGGTTTACCTCAAGTTAATCCCACCATGCGGAGGCACCACCCTTAAGTTTCAATGCCACCAAACGCACCTTTTTATGCTCAGGTGTGTTCATGTATTCGAAAAAATTTTCCACATTTTTAATCCACTCCAAGAACCCTTCTATTTCCATCTTACCACTGAAGCTAGGAAGGTCTATCTTCATCTTGAAGTCATTTGTGTCCTGCTGTCCATGTGGACGAACCTGCACACCACGCCTATTGTGTTCAATTTCTAGTAGATTTTCTTCTTCATCACTTGAGGAATCAATGAAGGCCTCTTGTCACTGCCGAAATAAAGGGTTGAAATTGACTTCTTGATGGTATTGCCTCTGTTCTTGGTGGATTCTTGGTCCCAGATCTATTTCTTGAATCCTTCTTGGAGGAGCAGCTAGTCTTTCTTGTGCGTGGATACCTCTTTGATCATGTCTACGTGGTTCTTGCTGATTTCTTGTAGTGATTTGTTGAGGAATTCTTGTTGGACTTTGGTTTACACTCAACGTTTCCGTCTGTTGGTGTATCATTCCTAAGATCTCTTTGATCTCACCCACATCATTTTTTAAGCTTTTGATGTCCCCTTCGACCAACTGCAAGCGTGTGGTTAATGCCCGTGGTGAGAGAGCGGATGATTGTTCCGTTTCTTTGGTGGTCATGGAAGAGACGTCTCCCATCATTGGTTTCTTTCCTGCCATCGAGTGCCCAGAATTTCGGGTGCTTTGATACCATCTAATGCAATCTTGCACAAGGTTTTTAAGATGAATGTAATCTGATCTTATTAATAAGCAGAAGAAACCTATTTATAAAGGTTTCTGAAATAAACCTATTTATAAAGGTTTTTGAAATAACAAACTTAACAGTAACTTGAAGTTACTATTAATAAGGAGAAGAAACCTATTTATAAAGGTTTCTGAAATAACAAACTTAACAGTAACTTGAAGTTACTATGCAGTTGAAGGAATAATACAAATGATCATAACCTACCAGCCACGTTTACAACCTTATAACTAAACTAAAGACATCTACGACTACATCAGAGAGAGGTGGTCAAATCTTGGGAGTTTGACATACTAGGGCCCACTTGATAGTCGGAGGAGCTGGTTCGAGAAGGTGGAGTATTTATAGTTGGAGGTGCTGTGGATGTGCTTGTAGGGAGAGAAATTGAGGTCGTATTAGATCCTTCGGAACTCTCATCCTTGCGCACATCAGTCATCATGGCTGTTTTAACCATTCTGGTGTCAATCTAAACCTAGTTCTGATACCATAAAAAACTAAGGATAGAGACACCAGAGAGACATACACGAGAAAAGAGAGAAGAAATAAATTCTTTATTTCTCAAATTGAGTGATTAAAGATGAGGAATAGAGGCACTATACATAGGTTACAAGAGGAAACAAAATCTAGGAATAACCTCCTAACTTCCCTAACAAAAAAGGAGATTTATTTGCTAAATTTAAACACAAAATCTATACAACTTTGAAACAACTTCTAACTAAGTCCACATAATCTAAACTTCTAACTAATTCAATAGATGTGTAGTGGAGCATAAAGTTTTCGTGTTAGACTGAGATGTGAAGAATCGAACTAGTCCTTTTCGTTTAGAGGAAGGGGGAGGAGGGGCAATTTACTTCATCAATCTTGACAGGAAAGAAGCACTTTGGTTAGTGGACAATTTTTCAGACCTGTCTCTGTTTCCATCAAATCACAAGTTCTTTTGAGTCTTAAGATATGAATAAGATAGCAGTGGGTAAGAATTTTATTAACTGTAAACTTCTGAGCTATACTCCTAAATACGTTATAGATCTCTTGTAGCATCATAACTTTCTGTTTATATCACTTTTTGTCAATACTTTGTTTCATTTGAATGTAACAATTCGTCAATATGTTATTGCTTGTTCCTTTCACTCCCTTTGAGGGTTTATATTCTTGAACTTTTTTTCTTTATTTTCATCTATCAATGAAAAGTTTGTCCCTTGTATAAAAAAACAACTTGATTGATGAGGTAAATATAATATGTTGCAGGTTTTAAATAAAATAGATCTTCCGGGTGCTGATCCACTTCGTGTTATGAAGGAGATTGAAGAGGTTGGCACAAAAGATATGAATTGTTTTATTTCACGTAGCATCTTCTTAGCCTTTAAACATGAGGAGAAATCGAGGAATCATCTTTGAGATCCTTTTTTGTAACTCCATGATTTATTTTACATTTATTCTTAATGAATTTGAGTTATCAAAAATAGAAAAAAAAGAAAAGAAAAAGTATACCAGTATACTGATAGAACCTGCTCTATTATTTATGTATAAGAGGGGAAATTTACAGGGTTGAGGGAGATTCGAGAGCTCCCTTACCTCTCCTACACGTCCTTTAGCCAAGCAATTCCACAAAAAAGAGATGCCCACACCCCTCCCTTACAGCAGATTATATAACCGTTTCTCTCACTCCTAAAATTGCCCTCTAACTAACTTGGGCCCACAGGAACATTCTCTCTTCCCTTACTACCCCTCCTCCTAACATACTTCTTTATAATCGGGGGCCTATCATTACCCCCCTTCCAAAACGACACCTTGTCCTGGTGAAAATCTGGAAACTGGACTTGGATTACCTCAACTGGTTCCCATGTTGCATCCTCAACTGTACCTCCCTCCCACCGAAGGACATCCAAGGCGGTTGGCTGAGTTGCCCGTGTTCGGATGCCCAACACCTCACTAGGTTTGGCTTTCACGATCCCATCTGCCCCTAAGTGTTTAGGGAATGGTATGAGCGGGAAAGTATGGCCCACTGCTCTCCGTAACTGCGACACATGAAACACGGGATGGATGGCAGCCCACTCCGGTAAGCCCAACTTGTAGGCAACGGGCCCAACACGTTCCAGGACCCGATAAGGGCCAACGAAACGAGGAGCTAACTTGGCRTTAGAGCAGGGGTGCAGACTGTGCTGACAGTAGGGCCGAAGCTTCAAGTAAACCCAAGTGCCCACATCAAACTCCACCTCGCGCCGTTTGGCATTGGCATGGGCCACCATACGCTGCTGGGCCGACATTAGATGGGATTTGAGTTGTTGTAGCATCATATCACGGTCTTGGAGCTGTTGATCTACCAAGGAGACAGGGGAGGTACCGGCTTCATAAGGCAGAATCGGGGGAGGTGACCGGCTATAAACGACTTCAAATGGGGACGTTTTAGTTGAAGTATGGAAGGGGGTGTTGTAGCTGAATTCAGCCCATGCTAACCACTGTACCCATTTAGACGGTGTGGTCATAGTGAAGCAACGAAGATAAGTCTCAAGGCATTGGTTTACCACTTCGGTCTGACCGTCCGTTTGAGGGTGATATGAAGAACTGCGGTGTAAAGAAGTACCAACACAGCGGAACAACTCCTCCCAAAACAAGCTCGTAAAAACTTTATCTCAATCCGATAGGATACTACGGGTAACTCCATGGAGACGGACGACCTCCTTCACAAAAATTAGGGCAATCGAAACAGCTGTAAACGGATGTTTAATCTGTATGAAGTGACTATACTTCGTCAAACGATCCACTACCACCAAAATAGAAGTATAGCCCTCTGAGCGCGAGAGTCCTTCCACAAAGTCCATAGAAACATCCTCCCAAACGCGTTCTGGGATAGGCAGTGGTTGCAAGAGTCCAGCAGGTGCTAATGATAGGTATTTTGCTTGTTGACAAATTGAACAATTGGCACAAAAACGCCGCACATCCTGTCGCATACCCCGCCAATGGACCTCCCGATGAAGTCGAGCCATGGTTTTAAGGAATCCCATATGCCCGCCTGAGGGGGAATTATGGAACTCATGCAAAAACAACTGAATGGAAGGAGAAGAAGGGGATAACACCAATCGGTCATGATAATAAAGAACATTATGTTTGAGAGAGTAACCTGGGATTGTGGGTTGGTCATTCTGAAGTGCCACCATAATTTTGGAAAGTTCCTCATCTTCTTGGACTTCTTGTGTAAGTACAGTGGTATTAAGTCCCCCATCAAGGACAAAGCTTGCAACTCCGGTACCGCGGGCCTTCGCGATAGTGCATCCGCGGCTTTATTCTCCAAGCCGGGTTTATATTCAATGGTGAAATTGTATCCCAATAGTTTTGTGATCCACCTCTGGTATTCCCCCGGAATCATACGCTGGTCAAGAAGGAATTTAAGGGCTTTTTGATTGGTTCGGACAATGAATTTTCTGCCCAACAAGTAGGGTCTCCACTTCTGTATTGCCATGACCATGGCCATTAGTTCCTGTTCATAAATGGCCCGATAGCGTTGTGTAGCTGGCAAGGCATGGCTGTAGTAAGCAAGTGGCTGATTATTCTGCATCAAGACAGCGCCTAAGCCAACCCCTAAAGCGTTGGTTTTCACCACAAAAGCCTTAGAGAAATCTGGAAGGCCGAGAACAGGAACTTCAGTCATGAGCTGTTTTAACTTTTCAAATGCGACCGTGGCCTCCGGAGACCATTTGAAACTGTCCTTTTTAAGGAGTTGAGTCAACGGANCCATAAACGGCTTCAAATGGGGACGTTTTAGTTGAAGTATGGAAGGAGGTGTTGTAGCTGAATTCAGCCCATGATAACCATTGTACCCATTTAGACGGTGTGGTCATAGTGAAGCAATGGAGATAAGTCTCAAGGCAGCGCGTTTACCACTTCGGTCTGACCGTCCGTTTGAGGGTGATATGAAGAACTGCGACGTAAAGAAGTACCAACACAACGGAACAGCTCCTCCCAAAACAAGCTCGTAAAAACCTTATCCCAATCCGATATGATGCTACGGGGAACGCCATGGAGACGGACAACCTCCTTCACAAAAATACGGGCAATCGAAACAGTTGTAAACGGATGTTTAATCGGTATGATGTGACTATACTTCGTCAAACGATCCACTACCACCAAAATAGAAGTATAGCCATTTGAGCACGGGAGTTCTTCCACAAAGTCCATAGAAACATCCTCCCAAACACGTTCTAGGATAGGCAGTGGTTGCAAGAGTCCAGCAGGTGCTAATGATAGGTATTTTGCTTGTTGACAAATTGAACAATTGGCACAGAAACGCCGTACATCCTACCGCATACCTCGCCAATGGACCTCCCGATGAAGTCGAGCCATGGTTTTAAGGAACCCTATATGCCCGCTCGTGGAGGAATTATGGAACTCATGCAAAAACAACTGAATGGAAGGAGAAGAAGGGCATAACACCAATCGGTCATGATAATAAAGAACATTATGTTTGAGAGAATAACCTGGGATTGTGGGTTGGTCATTCTGAAGTGCCACCATAATTTTGGAAAGTTCCTCATCTTCTTGGACTTCCTGTGTAAGTACAGTGGTATTAAGTCCCCCCATCAAGGACAAAGCTTGCAACTCCGGTACCGCGGGCCGTCGTGATAGTGCATCCGCGACTTTATTCTCTAAGTCGGGTTTATATTCAATGGTGAAATCGTATCCCAATAGTTTTGTGATCCACCTCTGGTATTACCCCGGAATCATACGCTGGTCAAGAAGGAATTTTAGGGCTTTTTGATCGGTTCGGACAATGAATTTTCTGCCCAACAAGTAGGGTCTCCACTTATGTATTGCCATGACCATGGCCATTGGTTCCCGCTCATAAATGGCCCGATAGTGTTGCGTAGCCGGCAAGGCATGGCTGTAGTAAGCAAGTGGCTGATTATTCTGCATCAAGACAACGCCTAACCCAACCCCTGAAGCATCGGTTTCCACCACAAAAGCCTTAGAGAAATCTGGAAGGCCGAGAACGCGAACTTCAGTCATGAGCTGTTTTAACTTTTCAAATGCGACCGTGGCCTCCGGAGACCATTTGAAACTGTCCTTTTTAAGGAGTTGAGTCAACGGAAAAGCTATCGTTCCGTAATGCTGGACGAATTTACGGTAATAATCGATGAGGTCGAGAAATCCGCGTAATTCTTTGATGGTTGTCGGGGTAGGCCACTCGACCATGGCGATAATCTTCAAGGGGTCAGCCGCCACACCCTTACCGGATACAATGTGTCCTAGATACTCAATATGGGACACACCGAACGAACATTTCTTTTCATTGGCCACCAARTGATTGGTCTGTAAGGCTTGCAACACCAAGCTGAGATGTTTCTGATGGTCCTGCACAGAGGAACTGTAAACCAAAATGTCATCGATGAAGACTAATGTGAACTTACGGAGATAGGGTCGTAGGATGTCGTTCATGACAGATTGAAAGGTCGACGGGGCGTTGCGCAACCCAAACGACATAATGAGGAACTCGTAGTGCCCATCGTGTGTTCGAAAAGCCGTTTTATGCACATCACTGGGCTTCACACGGATTTGATGGTAACCCGACTTCAGATCAATTTTAGAAAAGATTGTGGCCCCGAACAGTTCATCCAGTAACTCCTCCACCACCGGAATCAGAAACCGGTCGAGTACTGTGGCGCGGTTAAGAGCTCGATAGTCCACACAGAACCACCAACTGCCATCTTTCTTCTTAACTAAGAGGAYCGGACTAGAGAAAGCACTCGAACTGGGTTGGATAATACCTGCCGTCAACATTTCGCGAACGAGTTTTTCAATTTCATCCTTCTGACATTGTGGGTACCGATACGGGCGGACGTTCACTGATCCGACTGAGGAAACTGATTCAATAGCATGGTCCTGGGTTCGTGAGAGAGGCAACCCATTCAATGGCCGGAAGACCCCCGCGAATCTTCCCAAAACTTGCTGGATTTCCACGGGAATATCAGATTGTGTTAGTGTTGGTCCCTGCTCCCTGCCCTTAATTATAGAATTCAGCTCCAGAATAACCCCGTACTTCTCTTGTCGCAATACCCGTAACATGGCTTTCAGTGAAACATGGGTCCAGTGGAGGCTCGGTTCCCCTTGTAACACAATCCGACGTTGGTTCAGCTCAAAATTCATAGTCAATTTCTGTAAATTCATGGTGAAGTCCCCCAATGTCGAGAGCCACTGTACTCCAAGAATAACACCTGCATTGCCCAAAGAGATGGGTAAGAGATCTTGGACTACAGTTATATTGGGAAATACCAGTTCAACCTCTCGACATATTCCCTGACTTGCTACTTCATCGCTCGTGCCCAATACAACCCCATATTTCGTCGTCTCGCTATGCGGCAATTGACATTCCTTAACCAATCCTTCATCGATGAAATTGTGAGTGGCCCGCTATCCACCAATACCATGACGTCACGACCCGCAATAGTTCCTCTCACCTTTAATGTCTTCGTCCGTAGGGTAGAAATTCCGGTCAACGAAAATGACAGAATCGCCAGCCCAACACCATTTTTCTTGTGCTCCTTCGTGATGGTGTCGATGGCATCTTGAAATTCCTCCGCCTCTGCGTCAGTTTCTTGCACCACGAGGACCTGCAACTCTTTTTTTTTACATCGGTGGCCCGGCGAAAATTTCTCGTCACAACGATAGCACAACCCGTTCTCCCTTCTGCTCTTCAACTCAACGTCCAAGAGTCTCCGAAATTGCCCTAAAGGAGTCTGCGCGTCGCTTCCTTTGTTCGCCACCTCCCCATTTCGTGATGCATTAGCACGTGTGGWGCTAATTGAGACGGTGCGAACCGACCCGCTAGCAGACCCGGTGCCCTTAATTGTATTCACGGTTCCAGATGACCCATGATTTACTTGGGCTGCTAGGGTAGTGTCAGACGTATTTTTATCCTCTATAAGTTGGGCCATGTGCATTATTTCTTTAAGCCCATTGGGCTTCATAACCCTAACTTCCTTCCTAAGGTCCTCCTTCAGTCCGTTGAGAAACAAACTTTCGAGGACAAACGCAGGTATGCCGTCGACTGGCCCTCCTGCTCCCTCAAACCGCCGGTGGTAGTCTCTCACAGTGGTTTCCTGGCGCACTGCCATAAATCGATTGCACAACGTGCCCTCCAAGGTCGGTCGAAACCGTTGAAGTAAAAGCGCCCGGAATTCCTCCCAAGTCTGTATAGGTCGCTGTTTTTCCTCCCATTGATGCCAATTAAGAGCTTCTCCTTCCAAACACAAAACCGCCGCTTCTAGTTTCTCCTTGTCCGTCAATCGATTGATCACAAAATATCGAGCAACCCGATGCAACCATCTGTCTGGATTTTCTCCTTAAAAAATTGGTACCTCAAGTTTCCGCATCCGAAGATCGAAAACTGGGGCCAAGGCGTTCGAGAGGGTTCCCTCGCTTGTGGTCGCAACATTGGTCGGAGTCTTCTCCCCGATAGATTCTGCATTTTCTAGTGCCTTTCCTTTATCTTCTCGGGCCTTCTCATCGACACCTATTCTCTGGGACACGGCTGTCATCCATAACCTTATTTCTTCTTTGAATAACGATAACTCCTTCTTCCACGACTCACGGCTGTCTTCTACAGCTGAAACCACTCCCGACAATTGTTGCTCAACTGATTCAACCCTAGACTCCATCCTTGTTACCATTCCCAGAAACAACCACTCTGATACCAAAATGATAGAACCTGCTCTATTATTCATGTATAAGAGGGGAAATTTACAGGGTTGAGGGAGATTCGAGAGCTCCCTTACCTCTCCTACACGTCCTTTAGCCAAGCAATTCCACAAAAAAGAGATGCCCACACCCCTCCCTTACAGCAGATTATATAACCGTTTATCTCACTCCCAAAATTGCCCTCTAACTAACTTGAGCCCACAGGAACATTCTCTCTTCCCTTACTACCCCTCCTCCTAACATACTTCTTTATAATCGGGGGCCTATCATATACCATCCTAATGACCAATATTTGGAACTATACTGTATTGAATAATTAGATTGGAGAGTATTTCAGATAACGGTGTAAGCTTGCTTCGTTTTTATTTATTTATTTGTGTGAATGCAAAAAAAATTCTTACTTTCTTACTTTCTAGAAATGAATACAACACTAGGCTAAATAGCAATTACATGGTAGAATAAAATAAGGAAAGAAGTAAAGAACACATAAGGAAAGACCTTAATGCAAATAAGGAAATAAAATACAAAATAACAACTGTACAATATAATTTAACAATTTGTAATACAAACTTGAGTCTCTATCCATTTATCCATTTGACTTGACTTAACCTTCTGATTTAATGAAAAATTTAAACAATGGTTTAGAGAAAATTTGCGTCACTTTAAAACTACTTGCATCAACATTAGCATAAATTAAGTGTATTATGTTTCACGTTTGTTGTAGGTTGTGGGTCTTGATTGTAGCAATGCAATACAATGTTCAGCAAAGGTTAGCTTTCAACTGTATTTTCTTGTTCATGGTAGCTCTGATTGTCTAATAAATGATCTGCTAGTCATTGAAATTCTATATTTGCAAGTATATTTGATAAGAAATGAGAATATGTTAGTTGAGAAAATAATATATAGGAATTTAGGGCTAAAAGTTCGCAAATACTGAGATTGCAGTACCCAACAAGACACTGATCTTGAGAGATTAATAAGAATGGAAAAATATTGAACTCCTTGGACCATAAGAAATATTACTTTGCCACTGAGGTGTACCTTAGACTAAATGTTGTTGTTGTCATTTTATTTATTTATTTTTGTTTTTTTTTTTAAATTATGGCAATTTATTGAGAAAAATGGAAAAAGATAGAATACACAAGGGCATAAAAAAAATCCCAAAAAGTAAGTCCGTCTAAATCTAAAGAAAGGGGCTCCAATCCAACAAAATAGCACCTAGCTTATAGTTAAAAAAAAAACTTAGAAACTAACCCCAAAAGGAAGTATTAAATCTAATAATCTCCCAAACATACTCTCCGATCTCTCCATCTCCACAAAGATTCTATTTTTTTTTCTTTGTTTTAACAAGAAAAACTTTTTATTGATTAATGAAAAGGAAAAAAATTGTTCAAAGGTACAAACTCCCAAAGGAGTGAGAGATATGGAAATAAGTAAAACAAAAAGAAAGAGTCTGAGACTAGTGGGGAGTAATAAATGCCTCCCAATTAGAACAAATCATAATGGATGAATAATTAGAGAATAAATCTGAAAGAGAACACCAATTTGAAGCTTTGAACTTAGTTATGCTGAAACAATCCTTTGGAGACTTGCTTTTGTCTTTCGATAATCCTCTGGTTTCTTTCGAACTACAACTATGAAAGTAAAGCTTTAATGTCATTGACCCACAAGAACCATGCTTTAGAACTTATCAATGGGCCACACAGGAGTTGAACAACATTTCTTGGGACATCTGAATCAAAAACCCATTGAAAAGAGATTTCAACAATTCCCAACATACCGAAGTGAAACAGCATTGAAACAAGATGTGGGGAAGACATTCACTACTGTCCGCACAAAGCACACAAATTGACAGGGATAATGATAATGCAGGGAGCTTCTTCTGAACAAATCAGCCCAATTTACCTTTCCTTTAATTAAAATCCAAGACAACAAACAAACTTTCTTTGTACATTTAGATTTCCAAATAGCCGAGTCAAGGTTTTTGATTTCTATGTTCTGTTTTGTTTTTTCTTTTTATTTTTTCGCTTCCTTTGGAAGCTTGTATCATTGACTTTTTTTCTTCCTTTTTATATTATCAATGAAAAGTTTGTTTCTTGTTCAAAAAATAAAAATAGCCGTGTGAAGGTCCTTCGGAAAAGATGGGGAAAGACGTGATTTGCAAAGGGAGCTACCAGCATCTTTGATCTTCTTCGTTGCTGAGAACAAACTTACTAAGCAATGCCGAGAGCTCTTGAAGAAAATTCCAGTCAACCATATCAAAGCTTTCTCAAGATCCAATTTAAGAATCCAACCTTTCTTCTTTCTGCCTTTGTAATCTTCCATAGCTTCGTTGCAATCAAAATTGGATCTAGAATTTGTCGTCCCTCAATGAAGGTGCTTTGTTTTTCAGAGATGGTGGAAGACAACTTTTTTAAGGCGCTCAGCTAGGACTTTTTGCTATGACTTTGTACAAAGAGGTAGTGAGACTTATAGGTCTGAAGTCTTTCACTTCAATGGCCAAGTCTTTTTTAGGTAAAAGGCATAAAAGGTTCTCCCTTAAATAAGCATTGAGGCGCTCGTTTTTGAAGAATTCTTCAAACGAACGCAAAAAATCCACTTTCAGGTGTTGCCAAAAACTCAAAAGGAATTCAGAAGTGAACCCACTCGACCCGGGAACTTTATTTTTCCCAAAGCTTTCTAGATTTCATCCTCACCGAAGTTTATTTCCAACCATTTACTGTCCTCCCTAAAGATTTTGTTATTACACTCAATCCAAAGCCCCCACAAAATAGTAAAAAAAACACGCTTGCCACAACAAAGTTCCCTTTTCTCGAAAAGGAGGATACAACATAACTTCCTCCATCAATACTTTGGGTCAATGGTCTTAAAGCCCTTATTTATGAATTATGGTTCGAGCGCAATCAAAGGACCTTCGAAGGGTTAAAAAGGCATCCGTTGGAATGTTTTCACATTGCCAAATTCAAAGCTTCTCAATGGTGTGCTCTTTCCAATCTTTTTGTCAATTACTCACCTAGCATGATTGATTCTAATTGGGATGCTTTTAGCTCTCCTTTGTAATTTTATTTATTTTGTTTCAACTTTATGTTTTATCTTTTGTATCCTTGAACATTTTATGTTCCTTTTCATTTATCAATGAAAATTTCGTTTCCTGTTAAAAAAAAACATAACTTCCTCCATCAAACCTTGGMAGTCCTTATTGTGAGCCCACAACACCCCAAATAGCTCAAAGAACCGCCCTCAGATATCTAGAGTAATTTGCAATGCCAGAGGATGTGGTCAAAATCATCCAAAGGGCCCTTGCAAACCACACACCATTGCGGTCCCCAAAAAGAAAGCGGAACACCTTTGTTTAGCTCGGGATGGATAGCAATGGCTGCCTGATGAAAACAAGCCATGACTTGTACAAAAAGAGCAAGGTCAAATCGGTGCGATAAAACCAGAACACTAAAGAAAAGGGAAAGGAGAGTAACCCTTGCATGAGCTGCCTAGAAGCCCCCAATTGCAATTGGTCCTAGAGGTTATTCTTCTCCTTGCTTGTTTGCTATGCTTACCATGGAGTTGACAGTATGCTTCCTAACCTTCTTTGCGTCCAAGCTGATATGGAGGGTGATTGACTCAAAGACAAGCTTATTGAGAGCATACACCATTGCAGCCCCCAAAAAGAAAGCGGAACACCTTTGAACACCTCTGTTCAGCTTGGGATGGATAGCAGTGGCTGCCTGATAAAAATGAGCCATGACGTGTACAAAAAGAGCAAGGTCAAATCGGTGCAATAGAACCAAAACACTTGAAGAAAAGGGAAAGGAGAGTAACCCTTACATGAGATGCCTAGAAAGGCACCCAACCGCAATTGGTCCTAGAGGTCATACTTATCCTCGATTGTTTCATTCAACACTACACGTTGAGCTATGTTCACCATGGAGCTAACAGTATGCTCCTAAACTTCTTTGCATCGGGGCTGGCGTGGAAGGTGAATCGACTCAAAGGCAAGCTTATTGGGAGGAGTGACCCCAATCTGATCATCATCGTTGCCATCGTGATTCGAAGGGATGACCAAGTCCATGGGATGTGGAGCAGACTACATTTCAGGCTCTTTTGCTTTACTAGCCCCCTCGACGAGCATATTCCTAAGAGCCGTCTACTCAGAGACAACTTGAGCAGGAATGCATCAGGTATCCTTGTCGAGGAAGAATGGTCATCCACCAACTTACACCTCTTCCGAAGTTGTAGTGGGGCTGCCTCCTCAGTGTTCACTTGCCCTTTGGCAATGTTGGTTGCCGAAGGAAATTGGTAGGAGTCGTGAGAGTAGAGCCAGAGCTGGTTCGACACAACGAGCACCTGTGCTGCAAAATGCACAGGAGCATTGACTGGGGTAGAAGTATTGGCAGCTGCCCTCCTCACCCTTAGAGTGTGAGCCACATGAAGTGGAAGGGTCATGTTTGTGCGAGATTGAACCAATTAGAATCAACAAGGTTACCCGAGGAGTTGGGAGGTGAGTCGCAACTGTGAGTAAGGCCGTTTGGGTCAACTATGAGTTTGCATCAAGCAAGGCTCGCCGAACTAATGATGACTAGGGGTATTTCCTGAGCTTTGTCGAGCTCATTGAGGCGAGTGAATGTGGTAGAAGCGGACTCCACGAGCTTAGGAACTTTACCTTAGAGAGCTGAAAGATAGAAGAAAGAGGTTAGAAGCTAACGAAGGAAATAGTCGAGGAGACTGAGAAGTACTAATCATGCTCTTTGAAGTAGAATAGCACGTACGGAATAAGCTCTTCCTTTGGAGGAGAACTCAACCAAGCACCCTCAATGAGAAACCACTCGTCCTTCCAGTCTCTCACTGAAGGGGGTGTGTGGAGCAGTATCGAGCCTCGAGGCATCAAATAAAGGCGCTTCCGATCCTTTTGAGATCTTTTTCAGCCCGTGCATGCAGGTGTAGCTGACTGACCGTCATCTTCTGGCCTTGGCCGTGCTAAAAGATGGCAAGGCCAACAACACCCCCACCTATTGGGGGCGAGTTGAGCAGAGGCGATTTGGGCTGCTAAAAGGTACCTTTGAGGATACAAGTTCAGGGGGAGCCTCACCCTATTTTCGAACATTTGCTTATAGAGCCTAACCCATCTCGTCGGAGGCTTGTCAATTTGTTCTTCTGTTGGAAGCCGGATAAGAATGGTTTCGGGAATACAATAAGTGTGGCAGAGGAGGTTAAGGTCATGAAGAGTCAAGGTGGAGGGGAAGTGGGTAACCTATGCAGTACTCGAGGTGGAGGAACCTCAATTGCTACCTACTCTATCCATTAGTGAACTAGAAATAAACAAGGGAGAAGTTGAAATTACCTCGAAAAAAGTTGGAGCACAGTTAAGGTTGGCAGAGTGAAAAGTTAGGAACGCTTGGAGGGGTTAAATGAGTGTCATCCTATAGACCTATATATATGAATCGAGAAGTGCCCCCCATCGTTGGATCCTTGACAATCTAAACGACCTAGATCTGGGAGGCAAAGAGGTGCGGCTTGAGCTCTGCACGACTTGCCTTTCAGCAAACGATGCGTGGCAGTGCAATAATGGTGCCACGCCTCGTCTGATATGAAATTGTTATGGCATCTACCGTAGACGACAGGTGGCAAACATGTGACTGACATGCGAAGGTGACATGTGTATGGCCGTGATGTCTGAGCCGACTCGAACACAAGGAGCTTGAATATGTCTAGAATTGGGGCTCATATTATGGGTGAAGGGTGAAGGCGACATGTGTACTACTCCCACAAGGGCACGTGGGCTCGGGCTAGGGCTAGGGCTAGAGCCTAGTCGAGATGAGGAGAAAAGGCTCGATCGGCTGATGAGCAGGTCAGCTTATCCTATTCCTCGATAATAGTTCGCTAGGCGAAAAATCTGCTGACATTTGGCGGAAGGACGATTCTGCTATCAGAGTATCCTTAAAAGTTGGTGTGAAATCGACTAACTGGTACTGACTCTGACCGCCCAAGCTCGTTTCCCCAAATCTTCGTCTTATAAAAGGGGGGCCAAACTTTCATTATAGGTACGCAATATCTTGCACCCAACCTCTAGCTCTCCAATTCGCTCTGCCGAACTAACCTAAGCTTCAGAGTGCATTTATTTGACCACTAAGTTCTAACTTGCAGCCACAACTTCTTGACAGACAAAGCAACACTATTCCACCTCGATTCTACAAGGCACTTCGTCTACTGCATTGTCCACGTCAGCATGTCCAGAATCTTGCATCAACAATATACATTTTGAAGCCCGATCAGCTTGTATTTGGGTTGTTGGTTTTTTCTATAAGGGCTTTTCTTATCTTAAGATGCTTGGCTAGTAACGGTTGGAAGAACTTGATCGGCTTATGATGTTAAATGAGTTTTTCAGAAGAAGTTTGGAGTTTCAAGCTGATCAGGCTTGAGAATCAGTTGAAATTCGTGCCAAATTTTTGCAGGATTTCAAAGATCTATTTCCAGAAGTTAAAGTTGGCGAACCCGAAGTTAAAGACACTTAATCCTATTGTTGGCTTTTATTATTGTTCTTATTTTGATTGTAATGCTCCTTGTTGAGCCTCTGAAAAGTTGTTTCTTGTTAAAAAAAAAAACATTTTGAAGACTTTAAAGATAACTCTTTGTTTTCTTCTTATTTTATTTTTTAGCTTTCGGATGGAGTTTTTTTTATAAGAAACTACGCTTTCATTGAGAAAAATGAAAAGAGATACAAGAAGTACAAAAAGGGCCTGCAAAAAGACAGTCTGAAAAAGGAAGTCCCTAAAGAAAAGGACAATTACAAAAGACCTTATAATCGAACTCCATAACGAAGTATTAAATCTAATGAGTTCCCATACATAGTCCATAGATTTCTCCTTCCCCTTAAATAGTCTATGATTCCTCCCTAGCCAAATACCCCATAAAGTAGCCTGAAAACAAGCCTGCCATAAAAAATACCCCTGTTAAGAAAATGATGGTATAACAGCACCTCCTCCATCATCGCCCTACAATCCCTTGCACGAACCCAGGTCATCCCAAAACACCTAAAGAAACGGAGTTATTTGGAAAATGACTTCATGTAATTACTTCCCTTTGTGGAATTTTTGTGATCTCTTCTCCTTTTATTTTAATGTAACTTCTTAACCAAAAAAAGGCTGAAAAGAATAAAAAATCAACTTCTAGGATAAAGAATCACTTAGAGCTAACATAAATGCTTAATTTTCTACCGTCTATCCAGTCCATTATCTAATCCGAACATAATCTACAAGATGCAGATTGCAGCATTCCTTTTACTTGTAAGCAAGTGATTAGACCTCTTCCCTTCTCTTTCTTATTTGTTGGCTTTGTATTCTAACATTGGAATTCTGAATAATCAATATTGCTGTCTTTAAAGCACCAACCTTTTCTGATTTTTATTCTTTTGTAGGAGGGGATAGGTATAACTGAAATTTTAAATGCGATTGTTGAAAGGGTTCCTCCACCTCGTAATACTGCTGATAGGCCACTCAGAGCATTAATATTTGATAGGTATATAGCTAAGCTTAGTTATCTATATTTGAGCTTATGGTAAATGACCTCTTATTTACACTGAATATCTTCAATTTGAAAACTCTGCTGTATCATATCCGTTTCATAATTTATGTTCTTATATCTTTTTTATCACTAACCAGAAAACTGATTTAGCACATCCATTTCATATACTTTTCTCTCAGTTTCTTCTTAGAAAAAAAAAAAAAAACAAGAAATCACTCAACAGAAAACTGCTTCCCTGTTTACATGTTTCTCTGAAAATCTGAAATTCTGTAGCTATACTTATTGTTCAATCTTGGCAACAAGTTGAGATACTTTCTTCCGTTCTCTTTTTTAGTACAACAAGTGAGGGTGGGGGATTCGAACTCATGACCTCTTGGCCAGAGACATGAGCCAATTAGCTCTAAGCTCATGTTGGCGATGGCGATTGTAATATTCCTTTTTGTGTTTGCTGATTGGCTCTTAGATTCATAAAAAGCTTGCTCCTGTCTTGTATTCAGTATGTATGAGGAGCAGATGCACTTAGGAGGACTTAATAAAAAATTGACTTGAAAACTCCCCTATATACTTCTTCAGAATTGGATTCAGACACTTTTTTTAAGTGGATTCTAGTAGCTATTAGCTATATCATAGGAATCATAAAATTGATAATCAAGGGGAAAAGCCCACCAAAAAAAAGAAAGAAATATATCGGAAATTACCACCAAGTAATAAGGTAACGGTAGCCGGTTGTGATTATACCAGCACCAATGCATTGGACCTCATTAGAACTCCGCAAGTGTAATAAGGTAACAATAGACAATACTCAGAACCAGAGACCATTCAGTTCTTCAAAAGGTTAGGAGGAGAGAGAAATAAAAAAAATGGAGCTATAAGTTTACTTTTCATCAATTTTGTTGGTGTATTTGTAATCTATTTTAAACACACCCACAGCTGGCTCTTCTACCTTTCAACACTTGGTTGTAGTCAAATCTCTACTATTTGTTCTTTTTTTCAATGCCAGAATCTGTAGTTTTTTTTCTCTCTATCTCATTCCTCAGCTAATCAACGCTAAAATCTGTAATTTTTTTCTCTCAATCTCATGCCTTAGCTTAAATTACAGACTTCACTTTCCTAATGGTTATTTTTTCAATTTCTTTCCGTCCGTACTCTTGGGAGTTTTAATAGGTTTCACTGAAATGGGTCAATTTTTATAATCTTGTAAGTTTGAAGCTATAATTTTTATCATTAAAAGTTGAGGTGTAGTTTTTGCAATCTTGTAAGTACAAGAGTCTAAGTTTTACAATTAAACGTTCGTGGGTATGCCTTTACCAATAGTGAGATCACTAGGTTCTTCGTCCTTTATTAGTTGCCATTAATAACTATGTTTTAGTTTTACTTTTCGCTGTCGATATTACTACTTGACCTTTGTTCTTCTGCCATCAAAATCTTAATGATATTGAAAGTTACAGATGTTATACGAGGCCACATTGTGGTTTTGCAGTTATTATGATTCATATAGGGGTGTTATAGTTTATTTTCGAGTTGTTGATGGGAGAATAAAGAAAGGCGATAGAATATATTTCATGGCTAGTGAGAAGGTAAACTTTCTAGACACTCTTAATTTTTTTTTACCCACATTTTGTTTCTTAAATCTCTTCCCAACAGAGAAGAATTAAGAATTTCAACTTTTCTCCATTCTAGCTGAACGTGAGTTGCTTTTGTTTCTTGCAGCATTTTTTCTTATTTGGGATCCTCTCCTCTAATACATTTAATACCACTATATCCACAGGACTATTTTGCTGATGAAGTTGGAGTCTTATCTCCCAATCAGTTGGAAGTGGGGGAGCTTTATGCTGGAGAGGTAAATATTAATTGATAAGAAAAATAATTATTTTTTACTTTGTAGAAACTAAGGTTTGAGAGAACCCGATAGATCTCATTCTCATTACTGAAGTCTATATATAGACAAATATACAAGGTTGACCTAATCCTAGAAGGGGAAGGTAAAGAACAAATGAATACATATTATTTAAAAGAATGTAAAACATACTAATATATACTCTAACACTCCCCCTCAAGTTAGTGCATATATGTTAATCATGCCCAACTTGTTAGAGAGATAATCTATCCGTGCTCCAGTCAATGCTTTAGTGAAGATATCTCCTAACTGCTCTCCAGTCTTCACATATCCTGTAGCCACCAATCTTTGCTGTATTCTCTCACGTACATAATGACAATCAACTTCAATGTGTTTGGTTCGTTCATGAAATACTGGATTAGATGCAATATGGAGAGCTGCTTGATTATCACAC